TGTGTGTGTGTGTGTGTGTGTGTGTGTGTGTGTGTGTGTGCATAAGATTAGACTTACAGGTGTAAAAAAGAAAGTGAGATTCATTCATCACTTTACGAGAAGTGGAGAAAATAATAGTATCTCAAATTCCTAATTTGAAGCAGCTGGATACAATTTTCTATTTTAACTTTTACGTGAATCTTAATAGGCTTCCTTAAATTATCTTTCTCTTTACGAAACTATTTTTTATTCTTCTGATTATGTCGAAATAGCACAATAATATGACCTATCTAATGTGCTATTCTAATCTCAGCATAACTTCTATGATCGATATTGAATTTTGGTTGATGCGCATAATAAGTGCATTTCATATAGCACTGTCAAGGGAAACGTAGCACTTTAATGAAAAATTAAACGGTCGTTTAATTTAGTAATTTATGGACGAGCTGTTTCTGCAAACGTCTGTCTCTAATTTCAATACTGCAAACCACTGTCTACCTATTGAAAGACTGTTAAATTGATTACTTATAGCGAGGCAATAAAAGACATCTGCAATTTTGAGAATAAGTTCCTGAGATTGAAGTAATTGAACACCCGTGTTTGAAGTTCTTCTTCAAGTTAGCCTTAATTATGTTAATAAACACAGATGTTTGAACTTATAAGGTAAAGAGCTTGATCGTCATGGTATAAGATGGTTTCTAATGCCCATCACCGTTAGTTAGTTAGGGTATTAGTTTTTCTTAAAATGAGAGCAGTTTATAAATTTCTGACAAGATCACAGTGCAAACCTCTTGCTTGGTTCTGAGTACCATATCCATATCACTATGCTATATCCGAAATCAAAGTCACCATTTTGCCGAAATTATGCCTTTTGAATGAATGACAATTGACATTCCTATTGAATGGCTAATCACAATAGGTGGATCATTTTGACAACGCTTGTTTGAAAGATTATTTAAGTTTATAACTTCGATAACTACTTATTACAAATTGACTTTAACTTTACCTCAGACCGCAGTTGCATTGACCTCGCTAATCAATTCACGGTCAATTTTTATGGACAAAATTTTACCGCATGAAATAAAGGCTCAGTTAAGTTGGTTTCGAATATTTTGATCCTGAAATACTTCAGCCAAAGCCAAAAAGCGAAAAACAGACTTTTTTCGAAATTATATATTTTCATCAGATTAATAGCATATTGGCTTTATTCCGCATGGAGACAGTTGCTAAACAAATTAAGTAAAAATGAGCTTGACACCATTCCATTTCCATCCGAGCTTACATCGCTGTTTTTTGTGAATATTTACATATTTGTCTGCTTCGGTTGTAAAACCGAAGCCCACAATTTATCGAATTCATTGTTCTTAATTAAATATGCTCCCATTGAATAAAATGTTAGTTGAAACCGTGAGTTCGAGTTCTTCAACAGTCCTAGAAACAATGAAATTAGTGCTAAATAGATTTTTCAGAATTGTAATATAATCGTCGATTTCAATTCCTATTTTTTTCACTTTCACTAACAACAGTGTGGTGATATCAGTGATATGCCCCTGCCTCCACAGTCCGATGTAGAATCAGCTAAAGGCGATCTTCTCATCTCCGGTCTTTTCCGTAATCAAGAGGCTCTCAAGAAGTTCGCCCTCTCTCCAAAATATGTTCTGGCCCGAGTGACGGATTTCGCCTCCGCAGGTCTGCGAACTCTAGTCATGGGGGCTCGTTACTCACCTCCTGAGGAGTGGTCACAGCTAAAATCCCAACTCGATGCAGCTCGAAAAAAATTGGATGGACGAGATGAGGCTCTTTCGGAGGCCTTCAAGAAGATTGAGCGACAACTCGTTCTGGTTGGGTGCACTGGAATAGAAGATAAGCTACAGGATGGCGTGCGTGAAACACTCATTGCACTGAGAAATGCAGGAATCCAGGTTAGCTATCTGATCATTAGTTGGGCGTTATTCTAAATGCTTGTGTACTCAGAACTGACGTGAGTTAAGTTGAGAAATGGTGAGAATGAAAATGAAAACGTGTCTATTAATAGAAAGCAATTGAATAAGCTGATTTGTCATATTTGACGTTAGAATTTTCATATAACTGCCAACTACAAATCTTATAGACAATTAACAGAGTAGAGCTATTGTTACCCTGATATTAGGAGGTCAGTTGGCAATATTTAGGGTACTTTTGTACTCTACGTTTAGGTGCCGATGGTAAACATTTCAATTAGGAGTCTTGCCTTGGATTGAACTCTCGTATTCAAATTTTTCATCTGAATAGAACTTATTTGCCATTGATATCGACATTTACTCAGAATGTCAATAGGTTAGATGTGTTACCATGTATACATACAGAAGTACCTCTTTACCTTGGACGTATTCGGTTAAAATCTCAAGAATAAATAAGCTCTCGTCTTAACTCTACGCGCCTTTCATATAAAAATGGATATATGGATAATCGATTAGCCAATAAAGAGACCACATCTCAATTCAGCATGTCAATTTGTGCAGTGAATAATTATCTTTCAACTCTGCGCAATCGTGGTGAAAAGGAAGCCCAGGCACTACATTTGACGTATATTAGTCAACGGTGACGTTTTTCAAATCACCGGATTTGATTAACTTGTCTTTATTAGGAATCAATTTGAAAAATGGATTATTACACCATTTAGTTTTGCATCGATAGCAAATGTAGTATACGTATAATCGCAAAAAGTATCCGAAGTAGCGAAGGATTAAAATATAAGAATTATGGATTAAGGATACAAGGGAGCAGAAGTGGTTCGAATGATGATGGGGAGCCGATTAGGATCAACAAAACTAAAAGTTTTAATTTATTCCAATTTCGGATTCATTAAGGTGTATTAGTCTTACTAACTTGGCGCAGTTCACTTTTACTTGTTACAATGTTTCAAGGGTCTATGTTCAGTTTCCTAAAAGAGTTCATGTCTGTCAGGGTTGGAGATTATTGATCTATTGCTGAAATTGTGTATCTGGTCAAATCACCTCGAACGACTTAGTTTGCTCTATACGTAAGATCTGTTTATTGTTTTTGCCTACGCTTCAATGCAGCAGAACTTACTACGTTTCTGCAAAATTTTTTCGAATTAGCTGAATTTAATTCGCTCAAGAATTCCAACCCTTTATTTACTGTGGTTATCTCGCTGTCCAATGTGTTCCAATGAATTGCTATTAGATGGTAAGAACTTATAATCGAAAACCAGTTTCAAACCAACCTGGGCTCATATTTTTGTGTAACTCCACTCTGTTTGTATTAAACATTGTTTTTGAATACAGAATTGGCAGGAACACCGGAAAATGTTTCAATAAGCCTAGTTAATTTAAGGAGTATGAACAGGCCATTGATGCGTCAATTACTACAAGTTGATTGTGGTAGCATCTAAACTTAGCTTTAGTTTAAAACATGACATAGTCAGATTACGTTTAACCATATGAAGAGAAGAAAATTGCACACAATCTGGAAAATGTTTGTAAGTCTCTTTTTAGCAATAAAACTGAGGTTAGCAATTTATTAATCGTCAAGTATTTCATCATTCACAGGCTGACATATATGGAAATTCTCCCTTGTTGTGTATAACTGATGTCACTCAAATTGGGAAATAATATCAAAACATTAGAAGTGATTGGATGATTCCTTAAATACCCAAATTTTCTTTTTAAGAATCGATACCCAGTGAGAGAAGATGTTTTATTTAAATGCCTTAGCGGTTGATTGAAAATAGATTGAAGGAAACGGTGTTTTGAAAATATTCATCCTTGTGACAATTAATAGTGCCTGTGACCATAACATGTACTTAAAATGCTACATCGTACTTCTTTGCAGATCTGGATTCTGACTGGCGACAAGGAGGAAACAGCTGTTAATATTAGTTACTCAGCCGGCCACTTCACCCCAGGTCTACCAACAGTTCGGGTGACTCAGCAGAACAGTCTTCGAGAGTGCATAGAAACCATCAATATGCAGATAGAACGCGTGAAAGAATCTCAAAATATGCACTCTGATTACGCCTTCGGTGTGGTTGTCGATGGACAGTCTCTTAATTTTGCCTTAACGGTGAGGTAGTATTAAATTTTAGATCTTTTGGATAGAAACCCGCTTGCACGAAATGTGTAGATAGTAAATCGAGTCCTAATACGTTTTTGATTGGACAATTCAAACGTGTTTATAACATTTGTCTATTTTGTTATATTACATCAATTGGAACCTGCGTTAATTAAAAATGTACATTTAAAGTGCTTTTCAATGTGCATGATCCCTAGAGAGCAGAGTTTCTTCACTTCTACCAAATCATGCTTCTCTATCTACAAAATTTGTGTGCTAAGTGTGTCAGGGCTTCAACAGAAAAACAATATACTTGTAAATTAACCGTGGGCATGTGGCTGCACTAAAATCAGGAACGTCTGTTGATGTCATTAATTTAATCAACTTGCCTGAGTCCAGATGAGTTAAGCTAGGAGAAACGCGACACTTTGCAAATCATTTCATTTATTAACTTTCCAACAGAATTTTGTGCTTGCATTTACCTTGCATTTACTGATTGTATCTTGGATGCGAATTCACCAAGAATTCTCGTGCATTGAAAAAGTGAGCTCTCCGTGACTTCACGATAACCTTTCTGACTTTTTTCCCACTTACTCAATACAAGCAATTAATTTCATGTTAGTAACATTGTTAACTATTTCACAATAATTTGCATATTTGCCAAATCGTAATAAATTTCAAGGCATTTATTTTGACTTATTTTGATTAAAGCCTACATTTCAATCATTTACGTGATATTGTTCAGTTCTGGGGTTTGTGACTCTATTAAGACTTATTCGGAAACAACAAATTTATGGGCCAATTTTAAAAACAAGTTTATTTAACCCTCTAAACAATGAATTATATTCATCAAAGCATGACAAAAATGACTGTCAGTATAAGTTTAGTGTTTTTACTTATTGTCCTCACAGATAAACTAATGAAACCAAATTGAAATTTTTATGATAAGTCTCTCTTGTAGCGGTTTATCATAGTAATTACTCCAATTTCATTGTCTGTAGTCTGTTCTACGGGAGCAATTCCTGTATATCTGCAAACTGGCCAACTCTGTCTTATGCTGCCGTTTAACTCCGATTCAGAAAGCCGAAATTGTGCGAATGATGAAATCCAGTCGTACACCTAGTCCAGTCTGTTGCGCCATTGGCGATGGGGCCAACGATGTGTCTATGATTCTGGAAGCTCATGTCGGAATTGGTCTCTTCGGGAAAGAAGGTCGTCAAGCTGTACGATCCTCCGACTATGCTCTTGGAAAGTTCAGATTCTTGAAAAGAGCTCTCCTATTTCACGGTTTCCACTACTATGTACGAACAGCAAATCTTGTGCAATATTTCTTTTACAAGAATGTCGTTTTCACCCTTACGCAAATTCTCTTTGGATTCTTCTCCCTATTTTCCTCTCAGAGTATTTATACTAATCTCTATCTTCTAATCTACAACATTACCATGACATCCATTCCTATCATTTTTTACGGTATCTTTGAGCAGAGACTTCCTGAAACAGTCCTGATGACCGTTCCAAATATTTACATGACAATATCTAAGAATAGGTACCTTTCTTGGAAGAATTTCTTCATATGGATGGGCCTCTCAGTTTGGCATGGAATTGTGATCTTCTTTGGAACGTACTTTCTTGCAGCGGAGGGGGTTTCAAACGGTGGGAACGAAGGAAATGCAATGGGAGTCTTGGAGGGCTTTGGATCCTTTATGATCAACTGTGTTTTTATTGGAGTGACAATAAAACTAGTCCTAGTGAGCTATCATTTCAATCTGTTCTTGATAGCTTCGGTTGTTGGCACTCTTATTGTCAACTTTTGCATCTTCATCTTGGCGAATTATGTCTCTCTTCCAATTGGCGACGGTGGTGCTCTGAGAGGAGTCTGGACTAGACTTGGGGCTGGAATTGGGGCATTCGTCTCCTACCTAGCTCTTTTCGTCCTCTTTGGACTCTGTTTTGTACCTGACGTCCTCTATCGATTATTTATTGACATAAAGACCGAGCACTATCTCGATAGTGTGGTAAAGTCTAACGAAACGCCCGTTGAATCCACCAACTCTTTCAATGGAGATCATTTTGGAGCGTATTACGGAAGTCTGGTAAGCACTTTAATTGTAAATTAAATCATTTCTGTTTAATGCTTAATGTTTTGACGGGTACATGTCACAGTTTTTCCTTGTCTTTCGCACTGAAACGGAAGTCGTTTTAACATTGCGTGAGCAAAGTGGACACGCCTTGGTTCTAGCAATCGTATTTTTGGCCTACCTCGAATATATATTTTGATTTTTTCCGTAAAAATGTTAGATATGGAATTTTTTGGTTTGTTTTCAGAAGAAAAGAAGCTATAATATACTAGTCATAGTGAGCTCAGGGTTTAAATCTAATGAAAAAGATATAACATCCAGCGATTCGGGCATTTCAGAAATTAGAGGTCCTTCCTGCCCATTTTCACTTTATTTGAATTAAGATGCCAGGACTTTTGACGTCTAGTCCTCTTTTCTATAATTTTAATTGTATCTTTATAAATTAAGCTGAGATGAATGAATTTCGTAAAGGACTTAAGTGAAACCTTTCTCCATGTTTTTGTTTTTTTAAGAACTTCTCACGAACCAATTCGCTCATTATTCATACTCTCCATGGGATATTTTTCGTAGCGATCATTTCAAAATCATTATGAAATACGCATATTTAAGTACTTATTCTCTCAGAGATTTAATTTAAATATCCCATGGAAAAGCATTCAAGGTCCTTTTAGTATTCTTTTTGTAGGGGATAGTACCTATTTCTAGCCAAAGAGCTATCAAACTATTAATCTCTTAAGAAATTTCAAACATGTGAAAAAAACTTTCTCAATCTAGATGAAAGGGGCTCGATTTATTCAGATTATGCATCCTAACTAAGCTAATTGAGTCATTTGTAAGAATGTGAGATCCTCCTAAGTTCAGTATTCGCTCTTTAACTCCAACTTTCTGAGTGGAAATTTTTGAGCTCGATTGATTAATATGCACTCCATTGTATGTTCCTCCTTAATTCACATTTGTCTTACCACTTAACGGTATATTGAGTGCGTCTTCCTATTATTTATGTCAAGTAAATTGCTGGTTGATGTCATATTAATTGGATATCTACTAACTTTGAGTATACTGAGTTTAGAATATTTTAAAAGTTGAAGTTAACTTAATAATGATTTATAAAGATTGTGCATATCAAAGTAGTCAATCTATTTTCACATTTCCTGCTTTTAATTCCTTACCGTATCCAAATCGCTTTTCCTAATCTGATAGTTTACTGCCTTATATTACGTTTGATGACCACATTGCAGACACGTTTACCAAATAGTATGAGTTCAATAAACTGAAAAAAATGAGTACTCTATTCTCCTGTCACAACTTGCAGGACAAGGCGCCAGAAGAGAAGCAAATGTGACAAAAGACGGACGTCATTAAATCGTTCGGTCCCATTCCCTTCCCCCATCTCTTTTCTTTCGCTAACCCCCTTCCCCACCCCCTCCCCCTCCTCCCCCTAATATCAATATATGCAATCAGACCTAGATCCTGTCGCATCTGATTTTCTTGTGAGTTATTGCACGCTTTATAAATAACTCCACATCACACCAATCACCTAATATTTGCTTTTAGCAACAATTTGCGCACCACTGTTTCATGAAATATATGCATAGCAATAGGGGGTGCCAATAACAAATCCATGCATTTTAAAATTGCCTAGAAAAATAATTTGTCTTCAGATTATATATATATAACTCTAGATAATAGTATTTAACCATAATTTGGAATTACTTCTTAATGCTTGTGTAGGTTTTTTTGTTAAAAACACTGAATTAAAATTTTTGCTGAATTTCGAAATCGTTCTTTAATTAGAGTAAAGTTCATGCCTCCGAAAGGAAGTTCATTGATGGAGCTATGTCTGACGAAAATGAGAGATGTGATGGAATCTCTCAATTACAATCCTGAATATTTTGGAAGTCATTCTTTAGAGGGCAGTAATAGCCAGGACATTGACATTTTGGAGAATTTATCCTGTTCCGCTACATAAACTCGCGAGTATATCCTTCAATTTCTGGTTCATTCATTCTAATTGATTATGACAGTAACCTTCGACTATAACCATCTCCTTGGGATTTAATAATTCATAATGGACTCCTCCACATACATCAGCCAAATATGTGCAAGAATTTTCTGAATGGTCAACTCCGGCTTGGCTTAAGGGATGTAATGGCTGTTTTATTTGAAAAAAACCCATTTCCTTTTTCCCCTGACGCGGCTTTATGAACCCAGTAACCATTTGGTGTAACAAATGTTGAATTCTTTGTTTAAAAAACAAAGAAATGTAAGTGCTTTACTATAATGGGAGAGTTGATGCGTGGCACCCAAATTTCCACCCTATTTAATTCACTTACGCTCTGCAAGTTTAATATCACATTTGACATGGTCATGGGAGCTCTTCGATAATAATTTTGCCTCTGATTCCACTGATTACATTTTGGATATTTTGATTAAAGTTGATGTCGGTGGATCGTAATCACTTGACTATAAATTTCGGTGATGGTTTTAGTATCCTTTCATGCTTTCGATTGCTTTTGAACGAATAGCTCCATGGTGTCTCATTTGTGTTTGAAAATTTTAACCTTAACAATCAATTAAAAATAAATAATATTCAACGATTTGCTTGCAAAAAATAACACTTAAAATCTGTTGTTTCCTTCACGGTGTCTGGTTGCCAACTCACCTCAAACATCTATTTATACAATGTACGATTTCTACTTGACATACGCCCTAATAATCGCCTTTGGGCCTCTTTAATTACTCCGTCTGCAGTTATTCGATTTTTTAATACTGTTGAAGCCAGCTTAATGCCAATTTATTTTTATTCCAGATGAATATGGTTAAGCAGCAAAAGCAATCCGATCAAATGCAAGTAGATCCCTCGAGCGCTTACTTGCGACGTATTCAAAAGAATCAGATTGCACCAAGCAACAATTGGTGTTTCCCTCCACCTGACTACCCAGGAGCAACTAGTTCTGTGACGATGCACGCCTCTGATATTATTCGAACCGATGATTCCTACTACATCCCCAGACCCACAAATTCATCTGATTATCGAAAAACCAGCCCGCATTCCTTTTTGCAAAGTACTTCTTGACGAAGAGGAAGGTGAAGCCGAACAATCCCAGAAAAATTCCTTTTATCTACTCTCTTAATGCTTTTAGATGTATTTTTCATTTATGAGTTGACTTGTTTTGAAAATAAAAAAAAAACTATTTTTATTATTCAGAGGAAACTTAAAAGACGTTTTTCAATGCTCTAAATGTGTACTCAGAACAATATGAACTTATATAAGTTAAAGCTGTTAACTGAAAGGCGTGAGGGGATTTATATCCATCTCATGATCTTATTTCCAATTCTACTGAAGGAAAGGCCGTCGTTTAGTAAAGCAACTTGATTGAGGGTGCAGTGATCTAGTCGTAAAAGTAAACTATGTTTGGGTGCTTTGTTCATATGGCTGACTTACTAATTCGGGAGATGCGATCCATATATACGACATCTCTATCAGTTACAGACAGATTATATTATATATCCTCTGACAATAGATTATCCTTAACTGGAAACGTTGCCTTGGGAATGAGCCGAGCAGGTTCTAGCTGCATTCGAAAGCAATGAAGTATACAACCTAACCAATAAATGATTTGCTCATTCTTTTGTTTAAATGGCTGTTTCTTATAACTTACATACAACCTAACCTTAACAGTCCCATGATGACCGTGAATTCATTAATCAATTTATTTAGCGAAAGATAAGGTTTATTTATTGATGCCTCTTCTGAGATGCCAAACATAGGTAGTTGTCAATGCCATCGATAATGGTTTGCAGCCCTTAATCAATGTGAGTGGGATACCTTAAATCGCAAAGCAGTTTAAAAGTTGTCTAGCAGAAAATTGTACTGCGGCTGGGCTCTAAAGAGTTGATATTATTTTCAACTTCAGAGGTTTAATTAATACGTTCACGCAACTCTAATCCCTTTATGCAGCTTTTAAAAGAGTGAAATCTCATTTGTGAAATTCTTTTATAACAACTGAAAGCCCCATCTCTCAGCAACTAACATTTTGTGCCTCAAATCAAATCGCGTCGTGTAAAACAAACACTCGAGTGCCGTGAATAGGACTGAAAGCAATTAATTGTCATTCCTCTTTCGACAATTTGACATTTCGATATTGGGATAAATCATTCCAAGGAGAATGACGGGATTCGTATCCGAGAGTAGTGTGAAGGATCATAATAATAAATGAACAATGTAATTAATTGATCTAATCATTTTCGAGGTGGCGAAAACGCTTTTTGTCTTCAAGCACAAAACATGACTAAATAAGGTAAAGTTCGTTTATCGATGCATATTTCCATGTTTCGAAGACATATCACCAAGTTTTCGAGTCATTGTCAAACCTTTAAGAACTGAAATAATCCCCAATCATTTCTTTTGAACACTCGAGCGGAAGAAATCCACCATAAGTTACTCTCAATTTATATACACATTTTATAGGGATCTCTGATGCAGTTCATCTCAAACTCTAATTGAATACCAAATCAATCTAAAATGACATGGTATTGGAGTTAAGTGTAAATGGATATTGAAGGACATGCTTTTTCAGTCTACTTTTATTTGTAAGCTACTAAAAGAGTAGAACATTCGTGAACTTGTGAGTAGAGTGAAACACGATCCTTTAATAGTATTAAGCTCAGGAAAAAGGAAAACTTTATTGAAATCAACGACAGTAGCATAAGTTTTTTGTTAAGAAGAAATAGAAGCGAGAGTAAAGAGGGTAAAGTACAAAAGAGTGAATGGTGTTGGAATCAATAGGTCAATCATTCAACTTCTTCTGCAAAGGAATGTCATCAGAAAGATAGGCCATAACTTCAGTGTTAGTCATCATGATGAGCTCTTTGGCAGCATTGGTGTTAAAAGTGAGTGGATGAGGTTGGGCTGAGAGACAATCCTCAAAGTAGACACCCGGTTCGCCTGGTCTCATTAGAGTTACGTACAGCGTGGTTTGCGCAGACTGCCACGCTGATTTACCCGCCCAGGTTGCAAGGTAGGCGAAGGGCTGAACCAAGGAGAATACAAAGTTTAAATTAACCATTCAATGCACCGTTTTCCTGCCAGGTACATAAAGCGCTATATCACCTAACAGAGTTGGAAAACAAAAATCCAGTGTAATAATTAGGTTTAAAAATCATAAATTAATAAACCTTTACCATAGCTGTTCTCTACAAACTCAAGGGTATATATATATATATATATAAAGTGTGGACTGAATGGAGATTTTCTTCGTTCATTTGTTCAAATATTAATGTTAAGTTGTTTGGGTAAAATTGTAACTGCATCCTGGTGACTTCGTTCAATTGCACTTTTCCTTCAAGGACAGTAAACAAACCAATCACTAATTCACGTATTTAATTATTTAACTCTTGACCTTCTTGAGCGGTTTAAACTGCATCCCGCAAATTATCACAATGGGAACGCATTATTGGATCCACTTTCTAATTGCGTCACTGACTGATGTCGAAGTTCACTAAATATATTAAATAAATATTCAGCGACTTTTTTTAGAAGCAAAGAATAAAATCAAGCATTAATTCAAAACAGCAGATTTGACAACAATGAAAAATAATTAACTGAATGTAAAAGCCCAAAATATGGTCAATCTGCTTTTCCGTCACGTTGGCATACGTAAGGTCACATGGGGGTGGGATTGATAGTCTCAAAGAAAAATGCTAATATCCGACTAGAGGAAATATTTCTTTCATTGACAATTATCTGAAATAATTAAATAAAAAGCCTTGGTTACAGATTGTCAAATTGCCATTTAAGTATCTCTGACTCTAAAAAGGTGGCATTTCTGTTCAATTTCTTCTTTATACGTTAGATTTAATATGTAAGGCTTACTTACTAGAAATGGCAATTTGACAATCTGTAACCAAGGCTTTTTTATTTAATTTTTCAGATAATTGTCAATGAAAGAAATATTTCCTCTAGTCAGACGGAAAAGCAGATTGACCATATTTTGGGCTTTTACATTCAGTTAATTATTTTTCATTGTTGTCAAATCTGCTGTTTTGAATTAATGCTTGATTTTGTTCTTTGCGTCTAAGAAAATTCGCTGAATATTTATTCATCGGTACTTACCACCCACGCTACCTTGACTGGCTTTGTCATTAAATTTTTAAATTCCGCTTTGAGTGGGAGGTTGGCACCTATAATTCAGTGTACCCATGCACATTAAGTGTCATACGTACCTCATTTTCAACTCTGTTCTCTCCTCATAACCATGACCTTTCAATCTTGTTCAATTTCATGATACGGGTAGAATACGTGCATTTGAGCAATGTGTTTTTCTACTCCATTTTCTTCGTTGGATTAAATTTGGAATTGATATCGATTTTGCATACATATTACTCTAAAAAGCACTGAGTATTTTGGGAGTGTTTAAAGCCACCGTGGTAGTAGAAGGAAATCAAGTGTTTTGGAATATTTATTAATTTGAAGCTATAATGAATAAGATGCTTGTGCGATTCTCTGGATGAGTATTAATTACAACTACACAGTAACTTAGGCGTGTAAGAATTTTGTGATAATTGAAGATATTCCTGCGAGTTAAAACTGTGGGCGATAGAGACACTATCATCGTGTGTGAATAAGTAAATAATAAGTTAGAATTGGATAATTGGCGTACTAAATTGATTTATTTGATATCGGGAGCCTAGATTGGAACAAAACTTAATGGATAATGTGTGAGATTTACCTTTAAAGAAATTAGACCCTAAAATAATATGAAAGAAGATGGTCCCCAAGTTTTCTACTTTATACTGAATGGTTCTTTCCTTCTTCATTTTATAAGCCTTCTCATTATTCAAAATTCTGACTTTCATTTTATATAATGTGACCCAATGAGTGTAACTTCATCAACTTTTTCAATATCCTATTGGATTCTGGTGCTGTTAATTATTTACATGGTACACAGAGAATGCTAAGAAACTGCGGATACCATTCCTGTTCCAGTTATTGCTCTAGAAGTCGGGCAGAAACTAAAAACTCCCATAAATCTGGAATACAACACTGAATCACTCCTCTTAGTATCATAAGCATTAGGGTAGTCTTTTATCGATTGAATTTTGTGGAGTTTGTAACGCTACCAAAACTAACCAAAGGTATCTCGAGTGCAAGAACATTCTGACAAGTGTGTGTGTGCTTACTATCGATTGTGTATCGAGAAATAATAGTAGAGTGTGAAGAGGCATCTCAACCAATCAGCAACCAATAGTCCTATGGAGTTGCGCTAATTTTACTCCATTACTAAGCATTATTACACCAAACTCTCTCGGAATGGGACCTTCTATGCTCTCACTGTCACCGATGCAGCACCAGCTAACTTCGGGAATGCGTTTACTTGTCTGCAGCTAGGCAGACTCCTTAGGGGATTGCGAAGGTTTGAAAGTTACAACTTCATTTTACCTAATTACGTTCACTTTAGCTAAGATGGAAAGATACCATACATGCTAAACTGTAGTTTACAATTTTAGTATAACTAGTGTGAAAACGCCACAAAGTTAGAGTTTGCAGAAGTGTATTCACTAACTTAGAACAGTGAGATAGTGAAACGTTGCAAGCAACTCATTTAAAGTCCACTATGGATATATATTTTTTGCGTGAATTTTGCCCCTTTATATGTTCATAAAAGCAAAATGGGATGAAAATACACCTCTTAAAAGGCATTCAAAAGCTTCCTATTTAAAGTAATAAGTGCAAAGTAAAAGTGCATCCTGAGGTTATTGTAGAATGCCGATAACTTAATAATGAGTGCAACAAAGCAACAATATAATGATTAATGTTAGCCGCTAACGACCTAATTATTATGATGAATAAGTAGAAGGCGGTAAAAGGGTATTCGATGAGACCAATCCTGAATTAATCATTATTTCCCTTAAGCCTAATTTTGGCGCCATTAATTCACACGTAGGGTTCGCATTCATTCTTTCGACGCGATTACTCGTCTTCTCAGTCCGTTTCCCAGATAAGTACCGCCTGCGCCAACTATCATTCATTTCTTTCTGTGAGTTATTTAGCTCCTCAATCAACACTTACATCTAATGAAGAAACAAGCATAGGGTGCTTGAAGAGTGATATTATGTTAGGGTGTTCAGGCAGCTTACAATTTCGAGGGTAACATCTTCAGTAAAACCGTTTTCAGAATTGACGCCATCTAGCACTTACCTCTTTCAGAATGCTGCCAAAGTGCCTATTTTCAAATCCCGGATGAACACTGATAACTCTCATCTTCGATGGCCTCACTTTAGTACTGAGGTAGTTGGCGTACGTGACAAGAGCCAAGTGACTCGACGAATAAGACTTCCACCAGGAGTAATCATTCTTATTCACCCTTCCTCTGCTCAACGACTTTGGTAACTCGCCATACTTGTGGAGTTTCGAGGAGACAAAAACAATTCGCGAGAGGAAATCAGGTTTGGCAGATTGTTCCATAAGGGGGAGAAGGTGTTGAGTTATGAGGTAGCTGGCAATGTAATTCATTCCCATGTTGCGCTCAAAACCATCGACAGTTCTGTCGTAGGTAGCTGAGAAATGAACCGCATTAACGATGAGAATGTTGAGCTTTTTGAATTCGGCCTTGAAAGCAACACAGAACTTCTTGATTTCTGCCGCGGAAGCGAGGTGCACTTGCCGAATAGATAGCTTCGAAACAAACAATATAATTGAGTTTTATTGCATGCATGTTACAAAATGAGTAAATAAACTAAAGCACTTTTTACTGTCTGAAAACGTCATTTCGTCCTCAATTATGCTTCTCTGGTGATTAAGGGTTCAGATTTATCTAGCAAATTAGCTCTCTCAAGGGGATTGTTTCGTATTTAAGGGTTTACAAATATTTGAGGAGTTTTAAATTTATTTTGACAGCAAGTAAATTTGTGAACATATCAAAATCAATTGGACTTAAAACATAAATTTCCTGTTTAGGGAAAGACTAATTAAGCACAGTCGAAGTTCAGTATAGATAGCCGTTTTATTCAATAAATGACAAAACTAGCGAACCATTGGGTTACAAAATTGGGGACTCTTGATTTCACACTTGACCTTGAATTAGTCATCATAATTACGTCATTTTGAAATTTACTTGAAACAAATAGAACCCGTTATCACATAGTAGATGAAAAACTTTAAAGAAGACAAATGTTTGAATATGTGTCATGCATTTTTTTGGTGCTGTTCCCATCAGTTCACGAGAACTGTGGTTTCATTTGCCTTACGAAAACATCACAACCAAATGTCATTATTCGAGGAATTTATGCTGATGTCCCCCAGAAGAGATGGCCAGGTTTATTCATTCGCTAATGGTCTATGAATATTTTTATCATGGAAATGTATTCCACCTCACGCATATAAAAAGAAACAAGAGTCCTAGAAGCCTTCAGCCTCTTCAATTGAGCGAGTAAAAAGTAAAGCTTCCAGCGAATATCACAATGGTGTAGTTATTAAAAAATTGAATGTATTATTGTTAGTAAGTTTGAATAATGTATTTTCCTATACTGGAACAAAAAACAAATATATGAATTTGAGAGAACTCTCCGATGCATGTCCAGTTGTCGGTAATACCGCCATCATTTATTATCATTAAAACATTTTTCGTGAAATAAGCGATGAATAGGAAATACTTAGATTAAATAATTACTTGCTAAATTTTAGCGTGGTTAAAGAAGTTAAAAATGGAATTTCATAATAACCGTTCGAGAATTTATATCGTGTTCCTTTCGTCAGTTTAATTTGCGATATTTTAGCATAGACCAAATACAAGGTAACAGTTTACATTTTTGAAAAAAATTTCAGAAATATTATCGAAAAGATTATAAGAGAATGCATACTCCAGAGTTTATTTGAGAGAATGCCTGTAACACGATCATAAAACCCAACCAGCTATCTGATCGGCAATAAGCAGTATGGTTGTCCATTCAGTTAATTGAACTTGCACCAATTATATGGCATTCCAAGCCTCAAATTTGACAGAAATACGATTGAATAAAAATATTGCCCCATTATGCATGAGCTAGTTATTATGGTGAAGATTTCATAATTGTTTTAAATAAGCCAAGTGTCATAATCAAGCATTTACAAATCGGATATTATTCGTGAGCTTGCACTAGAAACCGCACATCTAAAATTTACTGCGGTATGAAGATTGAATGGCTAAACTAGTTTCGTTTATTTTTCGTTGTTCTATTTAAAGAGACACGTTTCACCCATTTACAGACGCAAATGGTTGGCTGCCACAGGCTCGCACGCCCAAGGTCACAATGGTGAACTGGTTCTGGACAGTGCTTGGCCAAAATAAATAAGTCATTACAAATACTCGACCTTTATGTTACCAAATGAAATCTTCCATTCACGATTCGAAAATAGTTTTATGCAGTCATAAAGCCGAACAAAATAGATTAATCTAAATGAATGAAGATGTTTCTTGCCACCATTAGACAATCAAACGAAAACAAGTTTTAACAAAATTAATATTTAGTCTACCATATCGTTTAAGTCACCTGGTCAGCCCTAATAGAAGAAACACTCTTTATCATATCCTCACGGAGTTTATTGTCTCCAACCTTTTCAACAGAGACACCTGCCCCCTTTTCATTTGAGAATTCTTGGACAAGTAGCTGTTTGACTTTGTTACAGCGTTCAACAACTTGACAAGCCATAACAACATGAGCGCCACGTCTTGCAAGGCCTCGAACAGTTGCCACGCCAATATCGGTGTCTGCTGCCAAAACGAGGGCTACCTTATTGTCAAGACGACCTTCCAAATTGCATACACAACCTGCCAGGTACTGTCGGAATGACCGAAATGCCATGGCGATCATTATTGTTAGCAATATCTTGTGGATTGGGGCCATTTTGGCTAAAGTAGAGCAAAAATAATCGATTTTATCTACCATAATATTCATAACAGCACTCATCTCGTGTAGTGTTTGGCATGGTAGTTAATATCAAAGCTACAACGCTAGAGCTTATGGGTTTTAATCTAATGTGACCAATTCAAATTCCGGCTTAAGCCATTTGCCATGAGCAAATAGTAAACGTGATTCGAAGGATGGTTCAATCTAAACGCGACATAAAGAGATGTATACAAGCAAAAGGATATTAAGGTAGTAGATGATCATCGATAATAATTATTAGCAATTTATCCACTATCAAGTAAATCTCAATAGGTTAAAGCCATTGGAGTAAATATACACATTCTTGTCAGATATTCATTAAAAGATTAGAATGAATGGAAGAGATGCATATCTAAACCTTTAAGCCAATAGTTATACGCTAATATTCAATTCTATTTTTAACTGGAATACGCAGAACAAATTTAAATTAGTAAAACCACTGAATTCGGACGAACCAATCTTATTATTTCCTACTCACCTCGATCTAACAAACATGAATCAACCAATTGGAAGGTGAGGGATTCGCCTTCTCAGGCCAAGGCCGCTAATTCGATTTGACTTAGAGGGAGAACGATAGCAAGCAAATTATGTGAAATGCTCACCAGAACGCCTTAAGTCAATTGACAACATAACTAATATAGTATAAAAATTATTTGCAAGGTTAGCTAGATTAACTCGAAATCATAAAAAGGGCAATTCTCTTATGCCTGCCATAGCTGATCCAATGGACATTGTCAAAACGAAAGACACAGCCAAGATGAAGAAATTCTCCCTTATTCACAACCCTACTTCCAAAATAGCCTGGATAAGTTTCATCACAATAAGCTCTGATTTATACACTACGTTTCCAACGCATGCTATCGGACAAGATAATCAAATTACCAACTTACAATAAATAGCATGCTTTCGTGCAACATGCAGAGCTATGGAGGAATACATTATGTGAACCTAGACGCGTTAAGCAGTCGTGTTATATAAGCAAGGCGTGAGTTTAGACTAGGTGAGGTATTATTAATAAGAACAGGAATTTCACAAATACATTTCTTTATTTCAAAAGCGTATTTCCTTTTACAATTAATCAATGCTGAAGTACCACCCGAATAAGTGACAAAGACCTGGTAATGCTTCGTTATCAATAATATTAACAAACTTTACAAAATACTGAATTGGTTAACCGATTGTTCGACACGATTATTGATTTGTTTCACTGCAGTCCATGGCCTGATCGATTCCCTCGTTCCCTTGAACGTCTGTTGTGGAAGTGACTGCAGTAGATGGAGTCAATTCAGTTTTACACATGGGAATATATGAGGCAAACGCCAAGTAGCCGGTATGACCCGTATCTTTGTGCTAGAATAAAGAAAGAGTACTAAGGTTAGTTCGATTTACAATTGCTCCCCCACCCACCACCCCATAAACATGAGACGAGAGAAAATGCGTTAGTAATAATGACTATAGGTCATCGTTTATTTAATGATGGTGAGAGAAGCAGTGGATAGCAGTCATTACAAAACACGAGTTCAGAGATGGGAGCGATCATATTTATGTCGCTTATCAAAACTCGACTTTTCCTATAGCAATATAACCGATAAGAAATTTAATAATCTGATATCACTTCAATTATTTCCAATTTCAAAATTAGAATTGCCACATAGATACGACTTCAGAATGGCACGTCAATCAATCGATTTTGATAAACCCTATTTATTTCAATTATATGTTACTTGATCTCAATTAGGAGATCACAAACAATATTAGACAAAATAACGCAAAACAAACCAAATCTGCCGGCACGAAAAATAATAACCAGGAGAAATCTAAAGCGACAGAAGTGTTAGGGAGTTGCCCCATGAAACGTCAGCTAGATTATTGCCAATGACACTGAACCAATGATGGAAGCTGAAGATACAGTGGTGCATACACATATTTCTTGATACACGCCCATAAAAAAAGAATTTCCGATCCTAAAAATTGGCCAAAATAAAGTGTCCCAATTAAATGCTTTCTTGACGGGCGCTTTTAGAATGGAACGAAGGAGAAGGCTATCATCCAAATGAGTACTTGAATATACTTCCCGCCATTGTTAAGTCACGAGACTGTTCACCTAAGAGTAGGCAGGAGTATACGAGTAAGAGAGATGCAATGCAAAAGAAAGAATAGGCATTTAGACAAGTAAATTAAGTGTGCTGAAAGCTCTGCTATTCACAAAATGAATAGCAGAGCTCTATGCATTAGTTCTTGTAATCTCACCACAAGCAGCTCATTTATCCACCAATATGCCCGCATGAATGAAGCCCTACGGTGACGCCCAAATGAGTAAGCGTACCGTGAGTACTAGCCCATTCAATCTGGAAATTGAAAGCAATTCAGTCTAAACGTAACAAAAGTTAATGAACAATCTAGGTCATCTAAGTGATAAGAAGTTCGAAAAACTGCGATTGGAGTGCAGAGACGATGGGGGAACAATATGAATGTAAGAGCTGTCGAGAATTTTCATGCAACAAATTTGCTAATATATATATATATATATATATCTCGAGCTGCTTCAGGAAGAAGAAGACTAGTTGTTCGCAATTTAATAGTTTGAAACACTCGTAGCAAGTAGTACTCTACTCAAGTACACTTTAGGAAAATAGTTGATAATAAGCCCATGTGGCTTTTAGCTTTTCAATCAACCCCCCTCCCCCTGCTCACAATGCTAATCTAGCTTAAAAAAGGAAATTTTTAATTTTTCAATTCATCATGAAGAGAAAATTAGACTTAGTTTCAAAGTAAATTAAGTTCTGAATGTGATTTAGCAGGCTTAAGTGTGAGGAAAGGGAAGGTTAAGCATGATTTGAAAAATACCACATGAACAGAAAGAAAAACAACGTGCCGTGACAAGGCACACAATGGTGGAAGGGTAGGAAATGAAAGGTGACCATGAAAATATCGGTTAATTATTATTGAACGTGTAAGCATTAAGCAAAAGAAGTGGATATTGCACCAATTTCTAGTTGTCCGAGTTGATTAGAAGTAAATAGTGATTGGACTGCTACACACTGAGAATGCTGTCCTCGAAGTATGCATTAGATTTAATACAACCTTCTAGAGAAGCGTGGTACTATTTTTCTTTCAAGCATATTAGCAGACGAAAAAAAGGAAAAATTCAATAGAACAAATAATTTTCCCCATTAATTCAAACACTTACCCTCGGCACAGCAACCCAGCAGCCATCCTCACGATTGCCATGCTTGCCTTTAGAGCCATTTGTGGATGCGAGGTATTTGTCCAATGGGGGGTAGAGATGGGGCTCATGCTTCTTATATGTCTTGCCAACTGAATTTGTTTCTTCAGTTACATCGGACTTTCCGAAAACGTAGGTCCCATTTAATAGGTCAGTGGCGCTCTTCTGGCCTAAAATTAAACAATAAATAACAATTTTTCCGAATTTTGGAAATAAAGCAAGCCATCGAATGAACATTGACACAAGACACTTATCACATTACTAAATAGCGGATGGGACACATTAAGGCATAAACGGACCAATTTATGTGTAAGGACTACTTTTCCTCTCTCCAGAGTGACCATTGTGAAGGCTGGTTCGTGGGGTCATCAACTATTCATTCCAATTTACAACTTCTATTTAACCTAATTCCTCCCGTATAAAGCGGAAAACATGCAAGAGCCCTACATTCCCAGTCGCTCCCACCATTGACCTTCAAATAATGCCCAGTTATTCATACGCTGAGTCTGGGCGACCGACTAGAACGAATGCAAGGATTCTTCAGAATAATATGGCATTCACAAAATGGACTGTTTGATAAATTCAATTTGCCATTAATGAAACTCAATAAAAGGTCACATTTTAGGATGCCTTCAAGTAGGGCATCCAACATGCTAAAGTTGTGGTTAAATTTAGTCATATAATTCATAATTCATTTTTAAATGAATTACACAACTTATTAATACACATTCTTTAATTCTGTAATTTCTTAAGTACAAGTTAAATTTCAGTTCCCTCTTTGTTACAAATGTCAAAGAGGGAAGCGTCCGACCGTTAACAGGCCCATTAAACAAATAGAATGAGGGAAATTTCCCGACAATAGGCGTTAGCAACTTAAATAATAAAATATCTCTCTTATTCACTTGAATTAGCAGTAAAATAAGGTTTACAACAAACTCGTGATACAGCTAAATTAAGAAACATCATTAGGAGAAAATTTGCTTCTATGAGTGAAAATGAGCTGATTTAGTTTCCTTGCCATTCCTACAGACAACAAAAGTATTGAAAGGCCCAGTTTGACAACTTGCTTACCAAGTATTGGAAGATAGGGGAGAATTAACCCACTGAAGTAGTGGTTTAGAGGGATTTACAAGGGGTGACATACTTTAATTTAATAGGCGCTAATGCTGAGATAAGTACTTCAAGAAGTAGGCGCATAACGATGTGACTTTTACATTTATATAATCCCACGGCCAAAATCTACTTTGGTTGAAGGATGTCTATCTGGAAAGAATATCGAATTCTACCACTTTTATTTAAGAAACGAGCCTTAAATAGTGTGTTTGACCATTCCGGTCATTAGGTGCACGCACAAACGGTTATCGATTCCAAGAACTCTTGCGTAAATCGCTATTAGTACGATGGTGCTTACCGTTCAGTAAGAAGCCCAGCCCTCAAGTCGTTTGGAGTTAGCTTTGAACAATAAAGACTAGGCACTTGCTCAATAATCCATAAGTGACAGTTCGTGAGAGAAGTTGCTTTAAAAATGAGATGTTATTCACGGTAACTACGTTTTATAGCTGCGACAGATTTTTGCTGAAGCGTGTAAAAATAGAGACAAAATTCAAAAAAACTAGAGATTGAGAAGACAAGGAAAGTAAACAAAACATTTTACAGTGTTTCTAAATATCTGATATTAAATCCGTTATATCCTATTCGGTTAATCGTTTTAAAGCTTCATTGCGCACTTTTGAGTTAAAGGACAAAAGAAAGTCGATGGAAAGACAACGATGGAAGTCACTAAATAAGGTACCCGATTTTCGAATCAACACAATTTTCACTTAGGGTTTTCAATTAAAGAACAAGAAAAAATGATAATTTATTGAGGTATATTTTTTTGAGAGTCCAAACTGGGGAACTTACCAAAGTTGGGCACGTTCAAAACTGAATGCACAAAATCGTAGTTTCTTGAAACGCACTCAAAAACTTCAGTCTGAGTAAAGCCAGCTGAGCGTAGACTATTGCAGGATTTTTGTATTTGTTCTATACAAGGTGAGAAGACACACACCCTCCCGCCTAAGTAACAAAAGAAATGCCTACTGAAAATGTTCAAGTAGATCAGTTCAGGAAAGAAAAATACCTGAAGCAGTAAAACACTTAGGCAGGTTTGGTATAACAGCCCACGGTTGTGGTAGATCGATCATGACAGCATGACAACCATCGGGATTATGAGTAGAGCCAGCTTCTGGAAAACCTTCAGCGAGAACATCTCGTTGATCAACACTGACCACGTCCTTCAAGCCGTGCTCCTGTAAAATGGCAAAGGTGATTATCACAGAAAAGGTAAAAATTAACTTGTGATGTGAATTAAAGTGAAAAAAATGCCTAAGACTAGTACAGTAGAGCAAAATTATTGAAAGATTTGCAGTCAAATACTGATCCTTATGTTTGAAAGGTGAAGAAGCAGCGAGCCCGATCCTCCAAGCAAAAAACGAATGATAAGAAGTAAGACATTCTGGAAAACCCTAGATCGTTTTCTCCATTGTGCTTCACACCCCCATCTCATTGCCGGAATGGAATAGTTCATTAACCGCCAGTCGGCTGCTTCCCAATAAAGTAAGTTTTACAATTGTTGTCCATTGCAGTGCAAGAAAGTCGAAATTAGCACAAGAATAATGGGAATATATGAGGCTGGGGGGGGGGATATTGACTTGTCAGCTATTTCTACAACTCATTTGGTAGCATACAAATGTTCCAACTTAGCTGACACCAGCTAATTTAGCTCCGTGCGTGGTCAAGTAACCTCGATAAACTTGCATTATTTGATAGTTAACAGCAAAACTCACTCTGTGCGAACCCCTATTATGATCCCCAACGAGACACCTACATAGCCTCACCTCGCGATTCCCTGCCAAGACTTTCATGAGGTCTCAATTAACCCCCCCCCCTCCGCTTAATTTCCCATCTATTCGTCATTGTGACCCCAATTTAGGCACTGAATGAATGAGATACATATACCTACCTAGAAAATACAAACGACAGTAGTAAGGTCATAGCTAGTAGTATTTCTATGGATTTTAAAGCAAGGTTTACTAGCTCTCTTCCTCTTGCAAACTCACAAAATACGTTTTAAAGTGATTTAAGTCTGGTAATAACATAAAATGCCTATGAAACAAATCGGAAGAGTTGAAGATCAAACTTGAACCCAATGAGAAAAGTGATTTGTCAAGTCAAATAACCACGCCAACATTTGAGATGGTTTTGTTAATTAAACGAAGAGTTACATAACGGAAGAGATAGGTAGATTAGTAAACTATTGGCCAATTACTCGACCTTTATCAAATATACGTAGAAGGTAATAATGCAAATTAAAAAACGACATTGGAGTTAAAGTCTATAGGCCCTATTCCTGCCTAACTTACCAGAAGTTTCACCTTATTGTCAAAAGGGAGTGGGAATAAAAATGTTGGTGAAACTTAAGTCCCTATTCTGAAAGCGATCATAGATCACCAGTATCTAGGAAACTGATAAGCAGAACGTGCGGAGAGGACATAAATTAGACTATGAGTTATATCAGCCCTAGAAAACAGGTGCTATGAACTTGATAGGGGAATCTTATTTTCGGGAAAGTAGAAAGTTGTACAATTTATAAGTTAATCGCACACAAAAAACTACCAGTAGGTAACTAATGAGTCTGATTAAAAATAGCACATTTAATAAAAACAATGTTGAGATCATGCAAGATTGTTTTGCTTTTCCCATCTTTACGACTTATCAAGAAAAGTTAAGCGATCAATCAATAAGCACTAGACACTATCGTAAGGGTCTGATCAGTAAAAAAAGATAATGAATCATAAAATATTAATGTTGAAACCTGAGTCATTCACATCTCTCCCCCCTTAGACCCTATTATTATCCATGTTCATTGACTAATGAGAATAGAAAGCTCAAGAAAACTAACTCCTAGGAGTAGTTGGTAAGCAACCTAGAGCAAGCGTACTCAACCCCTCCTCTGCTGATAACTATGTTATTCTGGAATGGGACTAAGCCAATTCGGGTCTAGCGACTACCAGCTAAATGTTGTGAGGTAATACAATCAACAACAAATAACACCAAGGGAGGTATTTAGGTCACACTCGAAGTATTCATATTGAAAAAGATAGATGCAATCTTTCCTTCGACCTCTAACAATCTGATATAGTTTAGAGCCAGTAGTTAAGAAATTCTGAGATGCGATTTAGCTAACCCAGGATAGCGAGCATCAGCCAGCAGTGCAAAGACCAACCTGCTTGACACAACAATATCCCCTCACCCAATCGAGGATAAATATTTTGAATCTTCTTCAATGGCCCAACTTCCACCCATAATAAGATAAAAAAAAATAGCTTGTCGAAAACCAAAAGCAACATGGCAAATATAGTCTGAATAAATAGAGGCAAAATAGGAGAGACCATACTAAAACAAAAAAGCACTTTATCAATAAGAGGAATGCTTTCTAAATAATCATAGAAATAGCAAATCTTCTACGAAGGACGTGCCAATTGAACGCAAAAACTACTCTGGTAACTAGTCCATAAAAGCTTTGACAAATTATGGAACATAATGGGAAAAGTAGTGAAGGAAAAGGAGAAAGGGACAGCAAAAAGGATATATGTCGAAGAAGTTGTAAGATAACTTGGAAAGAAAAATTGTCAATAGAGGTAACAAAATAATGATTCGCGACGATCATTAGCCAATAAGATTTTTTTATTCAGTTTTAAAACTGTTTCCAATTCAGTTACAATGTGGTCTGAATTACAAACTACTAGGGCAAGCATCATCGTAAATTCGAACCACGATTCAAAAGATATCGTTTTGGCCTTAACAGTAGATTATATGAGGTCAGATCTGGAGATCCATTCCCCCCCACTTTTGACGGCTTTGCACCAAAAAGAAATTAACCCGATTAATTACCGAGTTAAGGGCCTTAAAGAGACATGGATAAGCCTGACCTATCAACATAGCGGTGTAGGCGCATAAGACGCAGGATTGAATATCAAGCCAGTGTTTAATTAACTAACCCAGGAAGTAGGGAATTCAGAGCGAAAGGTTTCAGTGTGAGTTAGCATATCAGTAAGTGTTAAAGCAAGAACTCGATGGGCCATGGAGATTGATCAAGAATCAAACAATATCCATTAACTTTATTTCCTAAAGTATGTACCTTTCTAATCCGAATTAAGCCAGTGTCAAGGAGGAAATATACCTAGAATAAATTATTTACTACTTTCCTTCGACAAAAGTCATATTGTCATACTATGTTTTTGCCACATTATTACTAAAATAACGATAAACCAAAAGTTGGTTTGAGTGGATTATCATTACTTGTGCGGGGTCTGCGATAAACTTATCTCCACGTGGTGCACCCTGGGCAACGTATACTCATACGCAAAGAGGTCTATAAACTGGCAGTTGACTTCTGATTCAAACTACCATCACCCCACTGTATGTCATATTCGACCCCTTCCATAGTACTCACTTCACCTTTTTTCTGCCTATGTGTCTGTCTCTTTCACTCCTTCGAAACACTCTTCTGTTTCTCTCCCCCCCCCCGCATCTCAAACTTATGTCACTTTGATGTTTCTCCTCCTCTCTGTGAAGTTCGAAGTCAGCTAAAGGGCTAATGATAACTATCCAAACGCCCGCCATTCGAAATAAATAAATAAATCATTATTTGAGCTATATTGTAGTT